ATATTTGGTGAAACACTTCGGTTTGATTTGTTGAGCACAGCCATTACATGCTCAAGTTCAGTCTGTGATAAGCCCTCTAGAGCGTGATCGGGCAGTCTAATCGGGCTCTCAGTGGATGCTCGTGATTCGGCTCCAGACGACCTGAACGAATAAATTAGCGTGCTGCGCTTTGGAAATCCACATTTTGCGCTGATCGTATGGGCGGAGTCACTTCCCCCATTACCATGAAAGGGAACAAGGCACTTGTATCAGCGACTCCGCCCATCAGCACGAAATGTGGCTTAAAACGCGTGCAAAATCGAATGGGTGCAGGTTAAAACTACCTTCTTAGAAGATTCAAGATATCTCCAGATCGATCTTCGGAAAGTTTTCGTAGCCCAGGTTCTGTTGTCGAGCCAGATGGCAACGATACAAATGGAATGGAAGATCGCGGACGTTCGCTGACAAAACTCGGCTTCTTCGAAAAAAGCGACGAGAACAGCCCAAAAGATTGCACATCTTTTGGTGCTGGCTCGACTGTAAAACCGACCCTGAAAATGCAGGCATTTCAGCTTCAACTGCGCTTTCTTTCTCGATAGATTATTATACACTTGTTCGCTGCGGATGTCGGGGCGTGTCAGGGAGGAGAGCCGTGTTTGGCGCGGCGCTAGCCCGTTTTTCACCAATTGTTGTCATTTGCTAGTTTCAACAGTCGCTGAAGAAAGGGTTTGGACCGCGCCAAACCCAACCCCGCCCCACTGATACGACCCAGCATCCGTAGCGAACAAGACCTTACTAAGTTGGCAAAAAAGTGTCGACGAAAAATTCTGATTATAGGAACTTCTCAAAAACGAAGTGGATCTTAGGAGGTGTGTGGTGACCTTCCAGAGCATAGTCGAAGCTACCAACGCATAGGTGGCCTGCATGCGGGGTTTTGTACATTTTTCCATACTCAAAAACAGGAGCGTGCCAACACCCGTGAGCCCTTGCTGTTTTTCTCACCACCAGACAGGAAGGGATTTTCCGGATCTAGTGACCTTATGAAAGCTGGATACTCCGGGACGACAATAAATCAGGCACGCTGTTAGCTCCTCCACGGAGCCACTAAGCTACTCGGAGTCGAAACATCATCAGCCTGAACATCTTACCTTATCCTGGTGAGATATGATGGGGCCGATCCACAATGTGCTGTTGAACGTAGGCAAGACAATTGCGACTCCTATCCGCACCAACCAACTCTACCAAATGCTCGGCGCAGTTTGAGAAAATCGTCCAGGGCCAATGAGTACAGCTACCGGTAAGGTGGGTCTATATAGTTGAAATCGCCACAACCTGTCAGGGCGGTGTCAGGAAAGGCTGAATGAACCCATCCCGGTTGACTCCTACCACTACTGATCGGTGAGTGATTGCTTTAGGAATAAGCGATCAGTGGCAGAAAATGCCTCGGGTAGGCCTAACCCATGCCTCCTGACACCGCCCGACCGAATGCGACGATAGAAAGCATGTATCAGGGCACCTTCGGGCAATCATAAAAAATTCTAAGGCTCAATCGGCATACGGCAGTCAACCCAAAATATTCCCTGGACCCTGTGCCCTTTGAGTACCAGCTGCCGCGGTCGTTGAAGCATCATTTTCGAGGAAGAGAATCCAAAATTTATGATGACTTCAAATGGCAGTCACGGCTTCTTTGCGTCATATGTCCTTATTCTTGATAAGAAACAACATTGGTTTACTCCAAAGGTAGAAAAAGTTTTTGTTCTGTCGACGAACTTTCTTGCCAGCCTAATACGTATACCTACCAGAGATGCTTATGTAGTTCAGAGGGGCTACGCGGCGGCGCGGCATCCGCGAACTGTGCCGCGCTCGACGATTGTTTAACATATAAGATAGCCAGCCATACACGCCGTGAGTTGCGACTAACTGCTGCTACGTAATGCACGTCTAAGATGTGCATTCAGGCTTGCGGCGGCTGCTGCGCCAACGTAATCTAAGATTTAACATGCTCTTCTGCTGGGCATAGATAACATCAGCTCATATCGAAAAGGGTCGCCGCGATCCAGGCTCGGTGTTTTTTTAGAGAGAATACCATTGCGAGCCCCCAGGACCAGATACAGGTAAATAAATGCACCTGTGTTTTGGTTCGGTGTGACCGTACAGCAAAGAGAGAAGTGTTGTAATGGGGCGGCCCTCGGTCCAGAGCGAGAGGTTCTCGATAGAAGCGAATTTTTGTTTTTCATGGACATGAGTTAGTTCCAACATAACTTAGACCGCAAAACTAGACGAACTTGAGAAATGGAAATTTTCCTCCTTCTATTGAGGACATTATATATTTTAAGCCTAGTATATCAAAGAACACTCGGCGCGGTTTTTGATCCGAGAGTTTACTAAAGCTGCAACAAGAAGGTCTCTCAATTACACAAGCCACACTTCCATCCAGAACTTCCAGAAGGCTTTCTTCGTCTTTCGCTTGATAAGAATGAAACTTGAAGCACAGGAGCGCTGATCAACCTTCCTATGTAACGCGCCACTTGTTCGTCTTGCAAGATCACAGTGACATAGAAATATGGACCCATAGAATACGCGCTTTATATAGCAAGAGAACAACCTTGTCGTACAGCTGATGGTTCCGTTATCTAGATGACGTTTCATTCACACCTTACATCCAAATCTTATCATGAAATTGCAATCCGACGGAGTTACGGCACTCCACGGCGAGGCACGAAAGCGATGCAGTGCTTCACTAGTTCTGCCACAGCTTTGCTCATTATTGACGCCTGTACTTACGACCCCACCCCCTCTGCCTTCACGCAACATACGACCCCTTCGTCGCGATTTCCTCGAAGCACTTGACCGTGGCTCCCCCCCCCCTCCCCGCCTCCCCTTCCTTCACACACGCTTGCACTGTAACAGGAAAGAGGACAGTGCAAACGCATTATTGCAACACGCTAGGCATCTTGACCACGAGATAATCTCTTTTAAGCACGTTATAACAATCATGAGTTTCGCGTGACTGAAGGAGTGCATCCTCTACTAGCAAAGGGTCTGAAGTACAAGTGCCAATGATTGAACCAATTAAAGATAAATTTATGATACAAAATCGAACCTTTACTAACCCTTTTGGGCACAATCACAAACCATTTTTCTTCCTTTACTTCACTTAATAATTGGTAGCGGTGGCGGGGTAGGGCGGAGCGGAGAGAGGCGGAGAGGCGTGGACGGTGACGGAGTAGAAGCGAGGTGAGTAGCGCGCAAGTCGCCAGACGGCGCGATGGTGGTATTTAGTATACTAACATCGCGGCTCGGGCGACTGGCGGCCCAGTCGTCGTCGCTTTGACCTCATCTTCTCGCGCCTCGGGGGCTCTTCAAGAGCCCTATTCTTGGGGAAGGTTATGTGCATAACAGCGCCGGAACCACACAGGGTTCCCATCATCCTGCCACAACCGTCTTTCTGCCGCACTTTTCCAGCACGAAGGAATGCCTCATTTAGCGTTCATAAACTGAGGTGTTAAGATAAGGCGACAGGCGCGGTATCTGAGATAGAGGCAGGTACCGCGCTGGTCCCGCTGAAATCACACCTTTTTACTTTAATTCGTATGTCTATTATTATTCATTCATAAGGAAAAGTGGTAGATTGGTTAATGGCGCACAGAATAAGCACATTTGCAATTTTTCGGCTCTTTGCACGTAGAATCAGAAGGGACGAACGCAAGCCGCGACCGTAGCGTCGTAACTGACGCCTATATTCGAATGTTAGTTGTATGTTATGACTTTTTCTAACATTGTGATGTAACTTTTGCTACAGCGTTTTTTCTAAACTGCTGTTGTGTTTCTGCCGTTGCCTTGAATTTTCTTTGCGCAAAATAAGATTTCGTGTGAACGCTCGGAAACGCCCCGTAATTCGGCAGACATACGGGCAGGTTCCACTCGCCTCCCAAGATTGATGCCCGCATCGATGCGATTTAAAAATAATCAGTACTGCTTCCGTGGGCTCGCTGACTTGAAACCTCTGAGATGGGGTAGGCGTGGCTGCGTACAGAAATGGCCGTGGCTGTGCTTCTGGTGTGTGTTTTATTTCGAGATTATTGCGGCCAACTCTTTGTCCAACATTTTTGAACAAGATGGCAGTTGTCTCAACCTGAATTATTCCCCCAGCCCTTCCTATACCATGTCCAAAAGCCACGCCTACTCCGTCTCAGGGATAAGGCGTATAATTAGCGGAAGCAGCTGTGCAACTGTGTCTACTCTGCGGAGCCCTGACTCCTGCCTATGGCCGTGAGCGCCTTCGTGGCGTTGCGGGCGGGTCATTTTACCAATGCAGGAGTCATCGCCGCGCTAAAACTAGGTCACCACGGCTCATTCCAGCAGAACGGGAGGAAAGGAACGATGCAACTCTTTTGTGTAAAATAGAGGGGGGTCTAGCGGGACCTGACTAGGACCACGCGATGGCCGAGCAGTGATCTCTTCGAATTCCAAGGCTCAGGCTTAGAAGAGCGAACACGGACCCCGCCAACCTTGTCCTAGGTCGCCGAATGGCAAACTTAGCCGCATCGCCGCCTTTTCCTGTTAATGCAGTAGCACCCTTTGTTGTACACTCTTTATCCCGAAGATGCGGGCGGGGCTGCACAGTTCATTTGATCGTAACGAGGCTAAGCCTTTGGTAAGATTTTTTCGTTTTGGAACAACTGTGATCATGCTTTTGTCCAGCCAAGATAGTATGGGAGTTGTTTGACACAAACATCGGACGACAAACGTAACCTAAACCATGTTGAAATGAAGTGCGGAGCCACGCCCACTTGACCTCCACGATAAGGAGGTTACGTTCAGTGCACAAATTTAATACATAATAATTGAAGACTGAGCACATAATAATATATAAAAATGAAGTAATATAGTGATAGTATATTGACATATTTTTGAGGATGATGACGTTGTAAAATGCAGAAAAACACCAAAAATATGAATTTCGGAACTAACCCATTGCTTTGGTCGTCGTCGAAACTTGAGACAGACGTCGAATGGCGGGTAAGGGAGCTGTCGGTGAAATAGCGTGCTCGAGGATTGGCCTGAGCTCGGAAATGCAGTCTCAGATCACGTCCAGCTTCATCAGCAATGTCTTCAGTAATTCGATGTGCAGCGAAATTCAGACGACATAAGAAATCTACATTACATAACAAATCCTTACTGTCCGTAAAACTGTGCTGTTCGCAAAGCTCATAAGCATTAAGGAAAGCATGACGCTGAGAGCAAATGTTTGCCACACAGTTGGAACTGAGCGAAAATCGAATGGTGTCGGGTGAAAGCGGTTCATTTCCTTCCTGGGCAACTTCGCTGAGCGACCGTCGCAAAACCCTGCCATTCGATGATTCAGTAGAGTCAACAGTAACTCCTATCTCCGGCCATGGTTTTGAGATATACTGGACACTTCCATCATCAGACTGATCTCCTAGAGGAGTGTTCTCTAGAGGAATGGACGTGGATGGACTGTCTGGCTGCGACGACTGAGATGCACGTAGTGAGTGATCCGTATAGATGACACGGACGTTTGATCCGCGTTGGGAAATAGCCCGTTCTTGTCTGCTAGAAGGGTCGGTTCCGACTTCAGAAGTATTGCTCTTGACATTTCGCCTAGGAGACACGAACGACGAGTGCCGTAGAAGAGTTCGTGGTATATTTGAAGTATAGTTAATAGACGTACTCCTACTTAGACCATCCCTTTTTTCGATGTCATTTACACCGCTGACACTTGTGTACCGTCTTCGAAATCTTGCTCTTCTATTTTCCCCATTCAGATAAGCACTTCTGTCTGCGAACTGAGAGCTATTATCGAATTGGGTACTCGCACGTGACTCACCCCCTGAAGATTGTGACGAACCCTGAGAGTTTTCACGAGAGCCACGTGACGTTTCTCCTGGACCCACTGGAACCTCTTCAGAACCTTGCGGAATATTTTCCGATCCTGTATTCTTCGTGTAGCTGTTTGATTTTGAACCTTCCATGTGCGCCTGTTTCGAGGAGCCCGGTGAAGAACAAGAGCTATAACTCGATGAAACTTTGTCACCCTTGCTTGAAGTTACCTGAGGAAGGCGATCGGCAAAAGCACTATTTGTAGGCCGCTCTGTTCTTGGCATTTCAGGAAACAATGGTGGAGCATTAGCACCACTGATTGGCCATGTTGTGTCAGAGAATTGCCATGTCGGCTCAAGATCTGATGTGAAAGTGCTTATCTGAATGGGGAAAGTAGAAGATCAAGATTTCGAAGACGGTACACAAGTGTCAGCGGTGTAAATGACATCGAAAAAAGGGATGGTCTAAGAGTACGGACGTACCTCTCATATACCACGACTCTTCTACGGGCACTCGTCGTTCGTGTCTCCTAGGCGAAATGTCAAGAGCAATACTTCTGAAGTCGGAACCGACCCTTCTAGCAGACAAGAACGGGCTATTTCCCAACGCGGATCTCAAACGTC